AATAATTCTTAAATATATACATGCGTGCATAGGTATTTATATATACAAAATAATTATATACAGCACACATATTATGTAAACACAGACTTTTAGTTTGGATGCGATTAATCGCAATTAATTTTTGGTTTCAATGAATGATTCAATGACTCACTTCATTATTGGATGAATCAGCGTTTTTGAATGAATCTCTTGAATGAATGATTCAATGACAAATACAGTTTTTACGGTCACTTTTCGCCACCTACTGGTGAAACGATGTAATTAAAACAGTCTTTATTTCAAATGTGGATTTACTGTATTTTGATCTCTAACGTAGACATCAGTGTTTAAATCTGAACTAAAAACTGAAAAGACTGTTTGTGAAGCTGTTTTATATTACGGCTCTCTCTGGATCAGAACTCAGATCTGAATGTTCATTGTGATTGTACATGTCAAAATTTGAATAGACACAGAGCCGAATCACTGTCATCTAGGAATGAGATTGTGATCGAGATTGCGATCTTTTAACAATTAATCATGCAATAATTTGAATTACAAATCACAATGATAGTGATCTTAAGTAGCAACAGAGTACAGTATCAAACTTGAAATCAAAGTCTATTTTCAACCTCAAAATAAACTTTAAGGATTTTGAAATTGGATTTGGAAATTCCTCTAATTGTGAGAGATATGGCCTGGAAAGTTACTTTCAAAAGTAATCCATTACATTACTTAGTTACTTTTTATGGAAAATAACATGTCTTTCATGCATTTGTGAATCAATGCTTACATACACCTTATAGGAATCAAGGTACACCTGTGAGCTTCACATTTCTGCTTTTAAAGCCTTAGCAACTCTGGGCTAATGGAAAGTGCATTACTATAGACATGCTTTTTGCACTGAAAAACACCAAAGAACAAGTTGAAACGACTGTGCTAATCAACATCACTGCACAAATGCGGTCGAGAGAGCTTAATTGAATCCTGAGCATTTAGCCATCTGTGGCCATGCTGTCGCGTTCCAGAACTCGGATAATTTATGGGGCTTTTTTATTATGTTGTGATTACATTAGTCGCATTTGCAAGTAATGCACTGCTGTTATTGATGTTGAACTCATTTAATAGGTGGCCATACCAACAAACAAGCCACACACGAATGAAAGACGCTGTGTGAAATCATTTACTGTATGTACATGCAGTGACTTCTTTGATGAATGTTTAAAGGGATACTTCACCTCTGGAAAGATGAATGTGTATTTAAAATGGGTCATTTATGTAGAAGAAATGTGAAATTATTTTTGAATTTGGAGCTTTCTAGACTGAGAAAAGCCAGAAAATGTATTTTTGGCTTATGTGGATGAAAGACAACAACTCCCAGAATGCACTTGCCTCGCTAACCTAAGAGACCACGCCTACCGGTAACAGAGAGCAGTAGTTAAACAACAAGTCTAGGCTGCTGGTGAGTCTCTGTGATGAGTCTTTAGCCTCTAGCCAAAAAAATCCTCTGATGACGCAACGCAAAATGACGATTTTTGCGTCATCGGAGGATTTTTTCCAGAAAAAAAATACATAAATCTCTCATCTCAGGGGGATATGAGGGTCGAAAGCATAGTAATTTAAAAATACTACAGGTTTTCTACTAATACAAAGCTTAATGCTAAATCCTG